TTATATATATATATATATATAACTGTCCGTTAAACCTGCTAGCAGGCATTCATCTCCTGCCGCTTCCCGTAACTAGGAAGCGGAAACAGTGTCGCAAAGATAAAAAATGACAGATGTGAACAGTCTGTCAAACACAGCTGCTCGTTTGGCGTACCATTTATAAATAGACACTAAATGTTCTACTCCCATTGCTACCACGTTCTGTCAGTACCTCGTGTAGAAATACGTACATAGAAATGTCCCGAAGTCTGCAAGCACGAAACTGGTTTAAAGTAAAAGTTGTCTTTCCAGCTGATTAATTAATTACCTGCTACAGGTTCGGAACTTAGTTTGCGTGGCACTTTTATAGACGACACCGAGAGTGTGCTGTCAAACAGACGGATGGCGCGCAGTTTTCAGATTCCGTCGTCCTGAAGAGGAGCTGGTGAGGAAAACTGGAGTTGGTGAGGAGAGCTGGAGCTGGTGAGCACAGTTGATCAAGAACAAATGGGATCACGCGAATCGATCGAACGCGGACCCTGACAGATAGACCGATCGACGAACGTAGTCGCGAAATTAAATTCATGTTCGCTCATAACATCCGACTCGTCGACAGCTGTACAAATAAAAGGCGGGACAAAGAGTGCGATCACCGACGACAACCAATGGCCGTTTGCCTCGTTGTCAATCAGCGAGAGGTTCGGAGGCAAACAAAAACTCTGTTGCTTGCCTCAGTTGACGGACCTCGAAATGGACGATTTTTGTACACCGTTTAACGCTCGCTCGTCCTTCCGACATCTTCGCTTCGTATAACGATACTCCCTTAAACAAAACCTCAAAAACCAACTAATGACCTCAGCCGAATATCATGCAAATGCAATTCTCCGTTCACATGAATCATATGCAAACCTACGTCGGCGAACAACAGCTCCTTTTCAATGGCTACAACGCTTGCCACAATAAGCGTCGGCATCGAAAAGCTCAAATACCGTATACAAATGTAGAGCCCTGAATTCAGCCCTCATCCACATGGAAACTGTCCCTCAAAATCATCCTGGAACGCTGAATCATCGTCTGCTTTGTACCGCCTTCGGCCTTGTTGAATATGCGATGATTTCCATCACATTCATTACAGAAATCACTACATCAGTCTTAGAGATCCATGCAACACCATCTTCGAGACGCGAAATGATTCTCCCATGATAATAACCATATAATAATAGATAATGGACCCGTGATCCTTCTCCAGCGTTTCACTCGATGTCCCTTCTTCGAGGGCAATGACTGGCATTTACGATGCATAATCCATTTGTTCCTAGGCGGATCCGTTTAAGTGGATCAAAGTGCAGTATCCTAGATGCATCTCAAACCATTTTTTAAAAAATGATCACAGCGAAATCCTCTTCATAACCGGTGAAGTTCTTGGAACAAGTGCCTCAGGAGGAGATCTTCTCAAAAGTCGACAATACGGGTTCTTTCACCGAAACAGATTATCTCTCAGCCCAAAAAAATGGACAGATTTTAAAAGGCATTCTTGGCTCAGGCGATTTACTTATTTAACTGCGGCTACATCTCTGGAAACGACAGAACCAAAATACATGAAACGCATCACCTCTTGGTTCCACTTGCCAATTAGCTGCTTCACATTTTCACTTCTGCGTGTTAAGGAAAAGACCCATTTTTGGACCTGTGTTGCGTACAGAAGCATCAGGTGAGAAAGTCAATTCCCCTTAGAACTGACTAAAATATTTTTGGACAAGTTTTCTAAGGTACTCGAATGAAGAACAACCCTCTTATATAACTCTAGCTGAATGGTGTTGTCACTGGAAATGACTGAGTGAATAGAGATACTTAAATTCTGAAGCGCCTCTCTGCTCTGCTCCATTATAGATAAGGACGGATTCTTCATAATTTTTAAACTTTGGCGCTAGGAAGAGTCCGCCTTCGCTGTTTTGATGCACACGTAAGCTGTCAGGTGACAGAATCGCCCTTTCCGCGTATTACTCATCAAAATATTACCGTCTGCATACTCCAGATTAGTGATGTCCATGAAGGGATATTCTGAGCTGTATTTTCCTTTAAAATAAAGCTTTTGATTTTGCCAAAAAAGACTGGAAAAGAAGGTCGAAAAAGATGTCGATTGCGAACTAAATTGGGACTATCGAATGAAATAAATCGAATTTATTGACAGTCGAAGGTCGAAGACTGGATCTACTGAATCACAGCCACAGCTCCGAGGCGAATCATTAATTAAAATCTTTAATTTCTTTTAGAACATAACCAAAAGTGCGGACAACCACATGGAAACATCCGTTCTAAATCTGGGCCAGCGATTTTTTGCCACAGTTTGAAACAGGCGGTTTCTTTTTGCCAGCTTCCTTCCGTTTTGCATCGAGGATAAGTCGTCTGAATAATTTTCCAACGAACCTAATGGACAAAGTGTTCTAACGAACGAGCAGGATCGACGGTTGAACTGCGTATAGCCACGTTGGCTTCGACGCATAGTGAAAGTTAAATTATTATGTCAGGTCAGGAACAAATATTCTCTTACGTGACTGGTGACCTCGATAGATGTGGACATTATGAAAACGTGGCTAAGTCAGTTAGATAAATTGGACGAGCATGCGCTATTTACCCCAGACCGTGAGGTTTTCATGTGGGAACCGAAACACGGCAGATGTCGACCAGGAAACAACGTCGAGGTCGAAGTTGAGGTCGCTTTCAGTGGGAAACATTTCTTTCTACGATGCAGTAGCTGGTGACTTATGGCAGGAATGTTGAAAAGCTGCAAAGACCACGGACGTCATAAACCAGAGACGTTCCACTGATGCACACGGCTCAGGGTGATGATCTCAACAAAGAAAACTGCTTCCCCTTTGTTGCCGCATCCCCTATCGTTATGGCAGATTTTCGACGTGTTTCGGCTCCCACGTAAGAAGCTCGCCAACTGGAGTAAGTTTCTCATCTTTCACCAGTTTGTCTAGGAAGACGAACCTCATTTTTTTAATATTCGTGTCTATGAGATTACCTGTATCTGGAAGAGAATAGAGTCATTCGATGGGTTGTTAGACTATTCAACCCTTATGATGCATCGAAGCTGACACTGCTTTTGGATATCCAACCTTCGCGTAGCATAATCTTCCTGACCAGCACCAGGTCAAAAGGCACATCTTTATCCAGTTTGTTGAAAGCATAGGAATCTGGGGAAATGCTAGTATTCAAGTGGAATTATATAATGTCGCAGCGGCGGATGGTTGGCATAGTGCGCCTTTAGTGCTGGATTCCATCTTCCGTTTCACCTGCACGTTGCACTGCAGTAATAAACGGTACAGATCTTTCGTTATAATAATTGGCACGAATCTTGTCCGTAGAAAACGTTCAAGTACCGTTCAAAAGGCGGAGCATGACAAGTGTTGATTAATGCTAAAAAAGTTCATGTGTTTACTGTGCTGAATTGAACTTCTCCGAAAGCCGATCGTTTAACTGTCAAGCACAATACAGCGTGCTAGGCGCGTGCGCGTTCGTTCAACCACATCCAGAATGAGGAACCGACCGAGGACACAGCTAAGAGGGGTTATTTGCCTAATATTAAGAGCAGTGCAAGTAAGGGCAGAGAAATAATATCTACTGACTTGTCGGAAGGAGTCGAGGTTCGGTCGATTCATTTTTATGGATTCGACGTTACGCAAATGTCGTCACTAGGCCGATGCCGGCAAAAAACAACTGCCACCGGTATTTAGTCTTTCTGCCATATCGCAGTGTCGGCACTGTTGCCGCTGACGCGACGACAGAAAGTATTCGCCAGCACATCGCGGCGACGATGAAGGTGGTCGCCCTTGTTTACTTCCTAATGGTAGTGTCAAGGAACCACGAAAACTGACTTTCGGCCACGATGATTGATTGCTTTCAGGTGAATGGCCTGTCAGAGCATTGCGACCCGATGTACTCGAGGGTGATACGGTGCATCAACGAGAGGTTGTTCAACAACGACGTCGACGAGGTGCGCTACGAAGCGGAAATGGACAGGGACTTTCGGCTGCACAGCGAGTACTGCTTCAGACT